CTGGGTCAGGCACTATGAGTTTTGAGTAAATTATTGCTGCAAAGATCAACAGCTGGGGAGCTTTTGGATCTCAGTTCTTATAAATACATATGGAGGGTAACTGGATGATATTATTATGTGCCATAGACTTCTGTCCTTTTGGATATCAATTGACTACGTAAAACAAAAACAGTGTTATGCTGCTAAAGTACCCCATTGATTACAAATGACGCAGCAATCCAAAAATCCTTCACAGATCCCAAAGGACATTTAACAGAAGGGTAAATTCATCACCTAACCCACGAGGAATAAACAAGATATGCATCCCTAGTTATCAATTATCAATATATGAAAAAGTTAAAAAAACACAATCAAATAAAGTAAGTTAGCCCATAAAATTTTCACAAAAGCGTATACATGATGATTCTTGCGGGATCATTTCCTAATTTGTGACAAGTTATATTTTATTGCTCTGAATCTTGAAGCAGAATCCAACGGCTGGAGATCTCAGAATCTTTCCCCTAAAATTATATCTTAGCAAACATACAGAATCCGCAGAAAGCAAGCCATTGCTTTTCCCTTTCATGTACTAATGGATTATTATAACCACAAAGGTGAAAGTAGCTGGATTCAACTGAGCAGAAGTATACTAGTTAATGGAGCGGAAAGCTTAGCCATCAATACAAAGAAATGAGATTTAGACTGTTGAATAATCCCTAGTGAAATCGATGAGCATGTGCACGAGATTCATGAAAGAAAAAAGGTTTAAGAATTTTCTGTTATATATATGTTACACATATACCTCTTAATAATCAATTCAAAGCCAACATATATAGAATAACACAGCATACATAGACTATCATCACTACCATATACCTAGAACGGGTTTAGAATTGAGATTTGTGATAATTATCGAACGATTCGGTGGGGAAAAAAAGAAAAGAAAAAGGTGTACTCAGTTCTTCTTCTACCTCATAATCTAGGGCAAAGCACTGTATTGCTGCTGCACATCACCCCAACCTTGAAGACTCCAGTTATTGCTTCCATTATCATTCCCATTACCTCCACCTCCGCTGCTTGTAGTTGGTGTTGGAGTCACTGAAGCATACGAGCTCCCGAAGAACCACTCTGTGGGTGTATCTCTTCTCGAACTTCCGACCACGGGAGAGATCTCTTCAGGCTTCGAAATCTCAAGATTCTGAAACAAAATAGGGTTTGATGATCTCTGATGACTCTGGTTCTCGAGATTAATCGCTGAAACGGGTCGGTTATCTTTTAGACTACTTGCAGTATTATCCCCTCCAAACAGCATCGCTAGTCTCTGCTGCTGCAGTTTCCAGTGAAGGTCTTGGTTTATTGAGCTCAGAGACTCAATCGAAGAAGCAAGGCTGCTCTGAACGTTCAGTGAGCTCATACCTTGGATTACACCACCGTTAAGTGGGTAATTATATCCAATATTGAAAGAACTTGAGGTTCCTTCGAGGTTAAGAGCTGGAGGGTGATCGTTCAGCCTAGGGAAGGGTAAGAAGTTAGCGGCGGTACCACCAAGGTGAAAGTCCAGAGAAGGGGAGAAGCCACCGTCATTTGAGAGTCTTGAGGATGACGATGATTTCAGTTTCTTGTTCTTCCGGCAACCGCCGCCAATCGGAACGTTACGCAAGGCTCCGCCTTTTGTCCAGTATCTACGACAAGTCTTGCAGAAATGCCTCGGCTGAGTCAGGCTGTAATTATTGTAGTAGCAGAATTTAGTGTTGGGAGAGTCACATCTCGGGCACTTTAGCCCTTGCTCTAACTGCCTCGCCGCCGTCGCAGAGGTGCTTTTCCGGCCGCCTGAGTCCTGGCTCTCGTCTTTCGTCGTCGCCGGAGCTGACATGGTCGGGAAGGAAAATATAGGGTGAAGAAGATAGCAAGTATTGTGAGCTGAGAAAGATTCAGTTTTTCAGTTTCCTTTTGCAGAGGCAAACATCCTTATCTGATCAATTGAATGAGTTCATGCATGGTGATGATGGAAGAGAGAAATGGGAAGGGAGGGCCTTTTGATGATGAGTGCCTGTGATCTTCATCAAAGAGGGTGATTGGAAATTAGTGTACTTTTTCAGATCTAAGGGAATAAAGATAGCAAGCTATATGTAAACAGAAGTGCACACTAGTGATATAGAGAGGCACAGATAGAGAGAGGAGGCTCAGATCTCACTAGAAAAAGGAGAAGTCGATATTATATATACGAGAGAGAGAGAGAGAGAGAGGGGGGGGGAGGGAGAGATCACAATAAAAGTAAATGATCCAAGGCTGTTATGACAGTAGAGAGAGATTGACCACTATACTACAACTATAAGTCTCTACAAACAAATACTCTTTAAGAGACTGAAACTCCTTTACTGTGGTTGATAATGATGGGAGATATGTTGGAGTTTGGTGAGTGACGATTATAATTAAGCATCGCCATCATCATCTCCTGCAAAGTGAAAATAAATAGATATACACTAACGCAACAATTCTGGCTGGTTAAAAACAAAAAAAATTCTGGCTGACGCAATTTATAAAAGAACTTACTTTTATCAGCTCAGACAACTTTAACAAACGTTTTCGTCATTCATTCAGACCTTTTCTTTTTGTCACATACAATTTAACTTAAAACATTAATGGATTTTTCCCGGAAAATATATTGCCGCATTGATTATTGAATTCATTGGAATTACTCATGACCAATAACCGCAGTTAATTAATTTCTGAAGCTCCAGAAGAAATAATATTCTCTTTTCTTGTGGGTCATATATAGTTGTTGGCTGATGATGAAAAAATTAGATTTTGATTGCATGGTAGTACATGGGCTATTGTAACATGTGTATAATTAGGAATAGAATAAAACCTATTAGGGGTATCAGAGCAAGAAATGATGCAAGGACGAGAGAAGAGAGGGGGGGTGTGATTTCAGAGTACAAAGGCATACTGCTGATCTGTCACGCCCAACAGTTTGTCTATTATATGATATATTATTTCTCTCTTTTTCTTTTTTGTTTTAGGCCATCATGTCATCAGTAAATTTTTTTATATTTGAAACGTCCCTTTTGAACTAAAAGCCTAAGCACCCACTTTACTTTGAACTTTGAAGACCCCAAATGAAGCCTTACACGTGTGGCATCCCCCCAAGATATCCCTCCAATCTGGTTTATTATGTTATTTGATGTGTGTGTGTGTATACCTCATCATTAAAATAACTTTCGTTTATTGCAATGAATAGTGGTGGTGATATCTCTTTATTGGTCCACCGCTACATTACAGTATGGCCCATACCACTACGTCCCCTTTGCTTCGTCGACCCTTAATTGAAGTAAAAGTTTTAGAGAAGAGTACAAGTCCTTCTAAAGTTTATGCCTCAGCTAAAATGGAAGGTCAGATCTTTTAAACATTTCAAGTTTAAACTCGTATATAGAAGCAGGTTATGACATTCTTAATTAATTGCCCAATCATACAAAAGAATAGGCCAAATCAAGCACTTTCTCCCCCGCCAAACAAAAAAAAGAGGAGAAAGAAGCCTTTTATTTTTGTTTGTTCTTCATATTCTATATATTTGAATCTGACATAAATGAACGAAGCTATGGCCAAGAGAGAGAGGGAATATGTACAGTAGAGCGGAAAAAGAAATAACTCTTGTAACTGCAAAGATGCCCTAACCATAACAGGACTTTTAACGGTCATGATCAAGCGCTGAGTTGTTTGTCTTGTTCTGGCTTTTCAGTTGATGTATATATGAAATAACCCTTATGGGAACCAGGAGATATAGAATAACGTGTGGAAAAAAAGATAGTTACTGTGAGATCACCATGCATGATCAGCTGCCCAGCTATATACACGCATCAGAAAGAAAGAGATCTGTGAACAGTACTTGAAAAGTCCGCTAAATTTCCTCCTATACCCAGAAGAGAAAAGAAGGCAAAATTCATCAGTGACAGTGGTGAAAGTTTTAATCTTTATTCATTAATTAAGAGTACTCTCATTGATCACTCGAAGATAGGTCGCTTAAAAATTAGTTATCCCAGAAAAAAGAGTGCTCTTCTTAATTTATCTAATATTTTTTTGTTTCCTAACAGACAAATATAGCTAACAAGGTATGTAGGCATGGAACCACCACCGCCAACCGTTTAACTATGAGAAGCTTAAAAGCTTATATATTGTTGGAAAGTTTTCATAAATCTTGGGTGATCGAAAGTGTGTAACATCAATATATATAATACAATACTAAGAAAAAATTGAAAACTTCCCTCCCGCAACCCATGACCGACAAGGGAAGCTTGTTAAATGATAATGAGGAAAAGTGGAAGGGCATAGGTACAAGTAATAAGGTGAAAAGAGACAGGTCCAGGCAAGAGAGGGGGAGAGAGGAAGGAACACGTGAGAGAGGAGAGGTGGCTGGATTCCCGTGAGACCAAACCATGAGAAACAACATTAACCCCAGCCTCATTCATATGCGTTACATAACCCCAAGGTTTCCTCCAACGTTACATCTCACGAGCTATCCTCTCTCTCTCTCTCTCTCTCATCCCGTTCCTCTAACCACTTTTATCACCTTCTACTTCTTTTTCAACTTTCCTAGTAATTTATTATATGTGCATTGTACCAGAAGGCAGTTTGTTTAATTTCTTCCTTTTTAATTGCGGTTGCAGATGTCCTCAAGTTTGTCCAATTGCGTTAAAGGATGAAAATACGGTGGCAAGTAACCGATTTTATGATCTGAACAAATTAAAAACCCAAAGGGCGGAGGCTTTATTTCTTGGAAACAGAAATGATTTATCTTCTTTTGGAAACTGACGGATCCGGCGGCCTCAAGCCTCGTGGGAGCTAGGAAGGCAAAGGAAAAACAACTCAAGCAGGTTGAAGTAAAAAGAAAGTTCTTATGAACCGAGAGGCTTGATTCTAAGAAGAGTTTATATCCATTTAAACACAAATTCTCAGGGTTAAGAATGTTTGAACGGAAAAACTGTTCTTGGAATAAGAGCTACTCTATTATTTTGGATTTCGCAGCACTTGAATTTGACCTAATAATAACAATTATAAGATATTTTCTCTAGTCTTAAACATAAAAACTAATTCAATTATATATTTTGGTTTTAAATTAAAACATTAATTCTTTTTATCTCCTATTTATAAATATATTTAAAAACTATTCTTATTGATGGTACAATTTTTAAATTTCGGATTCCAGTTTCCAATGTGGATTATTAAAAGAAGGAGTATTTTTTTAAAAAAAGTTAATGTTATGAAATTAACTAACAAAGAAGTTAGATTAGAGAAGAGATGTAGACAAGAAAATGAGAGAATAATATTGTATTTCTTCACTTTCTTTATTTTACAATGACATGCCCTATGTATAGGCATAGTCTTACACACAAATTATACTTGTACTTAAATAACATAGTGGACTATAAATCACATAAATATGAGTGGAAGGTGAATTACAAGATTAAAAGCATAGTAAAAGAGTAATTGAGGAATAATGTATAATAGACGTAGTGGGAGTTGATGAAGTTGAGAGGAAGAGGAGATGGATATCTACTCTTGGTAATTTCATAACAGTTAACGCATTTAAACACTTAATGAAAAATAATCAACTTAACTGTTTTTTTTAAATTTATATGAATTAATTAACTGCAGCACTCACATCTAGAAACAAATGAAGTATTTTAGATAAGAAGACGAAAGGATACCGGGAATGGAGCTTCACAATACTCAAATATAATTTGGTAGTACTAGATATTGTATAAAAAAGAAAGAAAATATTTTTTAAGTTTATTTTTTATCTTACAAATATCTAAAATCTATTATATCAAATAATCTACATCCAAACAAGTTCCAAATGAGCAGTAGCTATCTCAATGTGGTTTGTACCAATCCAGTATTGAGGCCTTAACTTGGGATCTCAATTGAAAAATATTTAGTCCCTTTTATTTGATTCAACTGCCGTTATTGGCAGTATTTCTCAAGGTCTTTAGATAGCTTATGGTGTTGATCATTAATTTTAGGTCATTAGCAAAAAAGCTAATTAATTTAACACTTATTGTTCGGTACCTCAAATATGAGTGTTTTTCATACAAAAACACTTGTACTTAAAAAAAGAGAGAGAAGAAAGTTAATTAATGTTTCAACTTTCAAATTCTCAAGCTCAAGTTTATCCGAAGGACAAATTACTTGATATATAACGTGTGTGATTGATTATAAGAGGGTGTCCAGGTAGAAATAAAATCATGGTTTTAAAAATATTTTTACGATATGCGAAGTAAATATATGAAAGAGTTTACCTCTAAAAAGCACTTTTAGCATAACCCAAACACCTCCTAAATTTGAAGGGGGCATATCACACAATTTATATACATCTAGCTGTTCGTGATTAGAAATTAAGAGAAGTATATAAACCAAAACAAGGAATTCAAAATTTTATATGATGAAAAACTTTGAATTACATATTTATTCTATTCCATTTGGCTCTAGTTTGGATATACTAGACATAGCATAAATACGAATCTAAAGTAAGATGACCCGCATGTGAAAGAATAAATTCACTTGACACAGTGATTCGTGCTACAGTTTTTTTCCTTTCGTTTTCCTTTTCCTTTCTATCTGCTGATGTTGATTTTGAATCGTATTGATATATTGAATTGAAAGGAAAAAGAAAGAGAGAGAGGAAAGAGTACATATGCCTCGCAGCTGAATTGACATGTTATGGTTTAGGCAGAAGGAAAAAGAGAGCATGCAATGAGGCATATGTATAAGGCAACAGTGGAAGCAAACCAAACGCAGAGAGAGAAGGAGGAGGACAGAAAGCCCCACTTCCATTCAATTTTTCTCTTTATCACAGTGACGAAAGTACACAAGTATAAACAAGCAGAAAGGAGAGTAGTGTATAAGTATCTTGTCATGTTCATCAAAATCCACCTCTTGGATATTTGTATTCTACACCGGTTATTTACGGTAATCGAAATTTAGAAACCAGAGTGTTAAAAGACAAAATCCAAAGCAATATATATGAGCATACAGTTTCCTAGGCGATGTCCAACAATTAAGGTGCGTCAAATGAACAATCGCTTTCACGTGAGATTGACTGATGCAAAGGCAAAGAGAAAGAAAAGAAA